GTGGTGGTGGTGTGCGTCAGGTGTTTATGTAAAATTCGTATTAAGTGACGTAACGATTCAGGTATTTTTTTTTTTAATTAAATACTCTTAACCTATGATTTTAAGAAAATAATAATGATAATAATAAATGGAAAATTATTTTAATAATGATAACCGTTAATCGTGTTTAAAAGCAGACGACGAATCGAAAAAAAAAAATTTAACAACAACAAAAAATTAATTTAAATTCGCACAAACGAGTTTCGAGCTTTGCATTTTTTTTTTCATTTAAAAATTAAATTAAATTTAATTTTTAATTATATATATATTGACCTCTTCCCCTCCCCCCCCTGCACCCCCCGTTACATCCCCTTCCTTTCTCTCACTTCCTTTGAAAAATTTTTTCCGCTTCCTCAGGCATGAATATAAATTTTTATTTAAAAAAAAAAAAATGTCTGAACTAAACTGAAAATATTTTTACATTCTTCTTAAACGTATGGAAAATAGAAAATTATTAAATATTTATAAAACCTTGTACAGGTACGCGAAAACATAACAAAAAAATCGTGAAAAACCTATCAGAAAATTATAAAACACGTTTTTTATGTAAAAAATTCGGAAATTTTTTTTTTTTTTTTTATAAAATACGAGGAGGTACATTTCCTTCAAATTATTATTTGACACGTTTTAAATGTTTTTAACATAATTAATTTTAAATAATAATAATAATAATAATGACGAGGTAAATAAATGGGGGAATCGAATTATGTATAATTATGTAAATAATAAAAAAAAAAAAATTTTTTTTTTTTTTTTAAACAAGTTTAAACACAATCATCATCATCATCATCATCCCCTTAAATAAAAATGGCGGGGGCATTAGAATAATAACTTTTAGGTGTGGATTCGCATCTCGTAATCATATATATAATTAATTACGTATATAATTTCTCCTGTCAACCCGATTAATTTTCTGGATTTTTTTTTTTTTTTTTCACTTATAAATGATGAGCTGGGCATTTTTTTTTTTTTTTATAAAAAACAAGATTGTCAGGTTCAAGGTCAGACATTGCCATTTCCCCCAACGTCTTTCACATTGAGGCACACACAAACACAATCGGTGGGGCAATAAACCAAGTTTATTTAAATTAATATTTGAGGCGTGGTGGTGGTGATGGTGATGGTCCATCGGTTTTTTTATTCTCAGATAATATATTTAGTCCAGAGCGAGTCTGTGGACCGGGGAGTTTAACTGTTTGATAGTTTAACCATAAACCGCGGCGCCAAAGGTGAAACAACAACAACAATCACAACAACCAGAAAATCGGGAAAAATCACACAAATATTTTTATCCAAAGATATCATTTCTTATCAATATTATCACTTTAAAATAATAATGATAAAACTGATAATTTATATTAAATTTTCATAAAAATTCATCCACTTTTCCGGATTATTATTATCATCATTATTTTCAATTTAATTCAAAAAAAAAAAAAATTTATTTTTCAAATGTTATAAAAATTATTTACATAAATAAATTTATGTAAAAACGTTATTTTATCATTATCATTATTATTATTATTTAAAAAAGTGTTTTTTTTAATAAGTGTTTTTAAAAAAAAAAAATCGTACCTCTAAAAAAAAAAAAAAAAAATTTTTTTTCAAATTTTTCGCGCCATTTTTTTTTTTTTAAATAAAAACGAAATGTCGGTTGCGTGATTTTTTAAATTATTTATTAATTATTATTTATTTTTTAATTAATTAATTAAGGTGAGTATAATTTTTTCATTTAAATTTAACCATGTTGATGATAGATAATAATAATAATAATTTGTTGAATTATTAATTAATTTTTTTAATTATTATTATTATTATTTAAATTAAATGTAAACCGTATCCGGTTCAACCGTCATCAAAATTAATCATTTTATTTATTTTCGTTAAAATTTATTTTTAACACTTTATTAATTAACGTCACATAATAATAATAATAATAATAATAATAAAAACATAATATTTGATTTTTTAATAAAATAATTAATTAATTACCATCGATAATTTATTATTATTATTTAATTTTAAAATTAACGACGAAAAATTTAATTAAATAACGAATGAATAACGGTTTTGTTTTACGATCTCTCATCTCATAAAAAAATTATTTATAAAATTAATAAAATTATTTAAATTGTTGTAACAACCGAAACGTAGTACATGGATAAATAAATAAATAAATAAATAATTTATTCATTCATAAAAAAAAAATTGAGTGCCATTGTCCGTTACAATACACTTACACGTAAAAACGTGACCTTTTTCATTTTTTAATAGTGTTTGTTTGTACACCGGTATTTAATATTATTATTATTATTATTATTATTATTATTATGTTTAAACGGTTTTGCCATCGTAAATTTATTATTAAATGTCTATAGGAATTTAGTTTTAACTTTTGTTTGTTATTGTTGTGGGTACCACATAAAGTTTTTTTTTTTATTTGTTTCCTGTAGTCGTGGATTCTTACAACAAAACACAATGATAATAGTTTGTAGTGAATGAATCGTTTTCGAATTTTTTTATTTATTAATTATTATGATAATAAAAAACCGTTATTTTAAATATGTCGTAAGTTTAAAAAAAAATGAAAAGTGTTTTTTTAATAATTTAATTTTTATATATGTTTAAAAAAAAAAAAAACAGGAAATGAAGATATTAATTGTTTTGTTAATTGTTGTTGTTGTTTCGTCTGATAATTACAATGTTTATCACGAACCATCTTTCCTACGGGACTCCGTAGAAAAAGTAACAAATTATCCATTCAAAACAAAAATAACATATAATAATGCAAGAAAAAACGATGAAAATTTAAATTATTATAATAATAATAATAATAATAATACGATCGGAGAAGATAAATCTTATTTATTCGATCATGTTTTTTTAAATTTCGGAAGTAAAAATTTACCACTACGTGAAGCTGTGGAAAGTCTTCCGGTTCCGTTATTTACAAATGAAAAAGGGTAAGGAAAACTTTTCTTTTTTCTAGAAATAATGAAAAACTTTTTTTTAAAAACCGAATTACGTTTATATTTCAGTTTATCATTTTCACAAAGTGAAAGAATACCCCTGAGAGATGCTGTCGAACATAGAATTATTGATGACGTCAGAAGTAATAAATTTGATTATTATTTTTATTCCGGTCGAAATAGACAAGGAAAATCATCGAATTTTAAAGATGCCACCAACCTTTCAAATCGGGATAAAGTTTCTTTTGTTGAATTTAATCCTCGGGAGGAGGAGGAAGAGAGAAGAGAAACTCTTGATAAAATAAACAAAAATCGTCAACCTAAATATAATAAAAATTTTTTTAACGGAAATTATGATGATGATGATTATTATTCGAATTCATTCCACGAATTATCTGATGAATTTTTTATGAATAAATTTAATGAAAGAAATAATTTTACGACACAAGATTTTGGTGAGTGATACCTTTTTTAATAACGACGATAATAATGATGATACTCACATTTATTTTATAATAATCGACAGACGTTCAAGAAAAGAAAATAGTATGCTATCTGCAAGGATGGGCAAACCACAGGAAAGAACCGATGATGTTCAATGCAAACAACTTGGATCCCTTTTCGTGCACTCATATATTATATGCATATGCCGGAATAGATCCACACACGTTTACCATTTATCCGCAGAACGAAGAACAAGATGTCGTACAAGGTAAGACTAAATATTCCTGTAGGAAGAAGAACATTAAAAATTTTAATATTTTTTCGTTAATCAATTATCATTATTATTATTGTAGGAGGATATCGTTCGGTTGTCGGTCTCAAAAGGTTTAATCCTAACCTTAAAGTACTCATTTCCGTTGCCGGTTGGTCGACGAGCGATTCGAAATTTTCCAAAATGACGTCATCGGCTGCTAGAAGGCAAAAATTTATAAAAAGCGTTGCAAAATTTCTCGATGCTTACGATTTTGACGGAATCGATTTGGATTGGGAATTTCCAGGTGGATTAAATGATTTTTAATTATTTATTAATTGTGTTTCCAGTTTGATTTTAATTATGTATCGATCTATCGATAGGAGCGGAAGATCTTGGAGGTACCAAAAACGATCGCGAACATCTTTCGCTTTTATTAGAAGAACTTTCCGAAGTTTTCGTTTTGAAAAACTGGATTCTTTCCGTTTCCGTTGCTCCTTCAAGATTTCGAATCGAAGACGGTTATAACGTCAGAGAAATAGTTCCATATTTGGATATGATTAACGTTTTGGCTTTTGATTTGCATTCGGAAAGAGAAGATGTTGCAGATCATCATTCTCCACTCTATCGAAGAAAACACGATCAAGGCTTGGACATTTTTTACAACGTGGTTCGTCAATAATAATTTTAATAACTGAATCCCGAACGTTATTAAATAATAATAATAATAAAATTTTATTAAAAGGATTATGCGATACGATACTGGATAATGAAAGGAGCGCCGAGGGAAAAGTTAACGCTTGGCATACCTTTTTTCGGACGTTCATTTACACTGACCAATCCTGATTATTGGATGCCAGGTTCGCAAGTTCGAGGTTTGGGAAAAGAAGGTTTTTTCACACAAGACAGTGGATTTTTAGCCTATTTTGAAATTTGCGATATGATTTCACGGGAAAATTGGAATGTTAATTCAGATTCTGTCGATAGTCCTTTTGCTGTAAAAGAGGATCAATGGATCGGTTATGACGATTCCAGAAGTATTTTAAATAAAGTAAAATAATTTTTTTTTATTTTTATTTAAAATAAATTAATTTTAAAATAAAACTCAATCGTTTTTATTATTATTTTTAGGTAAATTATGCTTTGAAACAAGGACTCGGTGGAGTTGCAATTTATTCTGTAGATCTCGACGACTACCAGGGAATCTGCGGTACAAAATGGCCTCTACTCAACACCGTAAAAGATGCATTTTTCAATCATCAATCAAACACTGATCAAATTTATTCATCGAGAAGCAATTTTAAAATTTATGATGTAATTTTATTTCCTTTCGACTACTTCATGTCACGATCGATTGTAAAAAAGAATTTATTTTTCAGGTACCTGGAACGATGATTGATCGTCAAAGAGACATGAATTGTTACGAACAGAGTATCAATCGCGATGTAAATAATTGTAGCGTGTATTACACGTGTGATCGGGGTTGGAAGACGACTTACCTTTGTCCTCGACTTTTACACTTTGATTCAAATTGGAATTTATGCAGGTTACCCGATTTGGCAAATTGTCAAAATCAATATTTAATGTCAAACGAATATAAAAAATTTAATTCGAGGGGTCCTAATGAAGGTATTGTTTAATTTTATGAATTAATATTTTATTTCCGCCATTGTCGCAACTCACACACGCACATTCCCCCCTTCCCCCCCGATAAAAGATTAATAATTATTAGTATTTTTTTAGAAACGTATAAAGTCGTATGTTATTTCACAAATTGGGCTTCGTATAGAAAAGATGATGGAAAATTCGTACCAGAACATATAGACCCGAGGCTTTGTTCTCATATCATTTACGCTTATGCTAGTTTAGATCCAAACGATTTAAAATTAAAACCTTTTGATGTTTCTGCTGATATTGATCACAGTAAGGTTTTTTTTTTTACGAACCTAAACCTAATTTTAGAATAAATCAAATAATTAATGAAATTTTTAGATTTTTACGATCGCGTTACTAAACTTCATAGATTGAGAAATCAAAATAAAAAAACGGTTGTTTTATTGGCGGTGGGAGGTTGGACGGATTCCACAGGAGATAAATATTCAAAATTAGTTTCCAATCCCAAATCCAGAAAAAATTTTGTTAGAACTTCAATTGAATTTTTAAAAAAGCATAAATTTCAAGGAATGCATTTCGATTGGGCTTATCCAAAATGTTGGCAATCAGATTGTAACAAAGGACCCGACAGCGATATGAAAAATTTTGCGGTCCTTTTAAAGGTTACACATAAATAAATACATTTTGCTATAAAAAGGATTTATTCGTTTTTAATAAAAATATAAAATTTTTTTTAGGAACTTGGTAAAGAATTTAAAAAGCAGGAACCACCCTTAATTTTGGCTGCGGGAATTTCAGGCTACAGAGAAGTTATTGACGTTGGCTACGATGTTGTTACCATATCGGAAGCTGTGGATTTTATGTCCGTCATGACGTATGACTATCACGGAGCATGGGAAAAAGTCACAGGACATGTCAGTCCTCTGTTTTACAGGAAAGGGGATACTTTTCCTAGGTTTAACACGGTATGTAATTAAAACTTTTTATCCGGAACTTGACGACTTATAATTCGATAATATACACTTTCAGAATTATACGATGGAGTATTTAGTTCAAAGAGGAGCTGATCGTTCTAAACTACTTGTTGGTATTCCATTTTATGGTCAAAGTTTCACATTGAAAAATGAAAATAACAATGGTTATGGAGCACCCGCTATGGGTCCCGGAGTTCCTGGAGAAATCACTAAACAGCCGGGAATGTTGGCATATTATGAAATATGTTATAAAAGTAATAATATATTTCGTAGAACTTACAAAGTTTACATAAACGATTAAATTAATTTTAAATAATTTAAATTTTAGTTCTGAAAGAAAAATGGCAAGTTCAGAGAGATTCTTCGAAAGCTTTTGGACCTTATGCTTATAAAAATACTCAATGGGTTGGTTTCGATGACGTACATTCTGTGAAAGCTAAAGCTTCATTCATCAAAAATATGGGTTACGGAGGAGCAATGGCATGGTAATATTTTCCCAACATTTATTTTTTAAAATTGACGAAACAATAAAAACAAAAAAAAATTAAATTTTCAGGTCTATTGATTTAGATGATTTTAATAATCGATGCTGCAGGGGGGCTTTTCCGTTATTAAAAACGTTAGGTAAAGCTTTAGGACAAATTTCGGATGATGAGCCCGAAGAAACTGATTGTACACGACCGAAACCTCCGGTGACACCTTCACCTCCCGTCACCACAACTGGTAAGTCATTTATTTGACAAAGAAATCCCAAAAACTTATAATTTTAATCCCTTTAAAAAATTCACTTGTAGGAGTTGATTCAGGAGCGAGTTCAGAACACGAATATGAACATGAACACACCACTTTACCATCATGGACTACCTCAACCATGCGTGAGTACTTTTCTTTTTTAATTAAGTTTTGTAGTTCATTTCTGTGAAATGAGCAACTTAATATTTTTAGCAAGCCGACCTGTATCAAAGCCAATGACGACTACAACAATGAGTACAAAATATCCCAGTTCAACTTCTAAACCGACCATGACATCAACGAGTGAAACATCAGTCGAATCTGTTGATTGCGAACCTGGAAAATATTATCCCGATCATAGTAATTGTAACGCATACTACAGGTAAGGAAAAAATTTTTCTCATCAATAATATCTATTTGATATATATATATTTAAAAAAAATGGCGAATAAACGTAAAATATTTTGTTGTCAGGTGTATATTAGGAGAATTAAAAAAACAATATTGTATCATCGGTTTGCATTGGAATTCTGTTGCCAATGTTTGTGATTGGCCGGAAAATGCAATGTGTGAAAAAGATTCTTTCGATACTACTCCAGCCACGACAACAATGAGGACTACAACAACAATGAGGACCACAACATCGATGATAGATGGTTCGTGGACGAGTTCAACTCCTCCACCTGACGATTGGTGGTCACCAAATACTACAATGTCGATTCCTTCTACTACGGTATTGCACATAAAAACTCGTGCATCTATATTTTATTCCTGTCGTCCGTGATAAACAAATGAAATGAAAATAAAATTTTATTTTTAAGGCAGTACCTCCGAGTGGATGCACAAATGGTGAATACTACTCAGTTCCCGATGATTGTAACCTTTTTGCCATATGCGTGAACGGTAAATTAGTGACACAAAATTGTGCTCCTGGTTTGCATTGGAATCAAGATCAAAAAGTTTGCGACTGGAGTCATAACGTACCTTGCAATAATAATTTAAATAAATTTGGCAACAGGGGCGATGTTGATTTATCAATATTAAATAAACCTTGTAAAGAAGGTACCTATGCGAACTATCCAGGAAATTGTAACCAATATTTAGTATGCTTGTGGGGAACTTATGCCGTTTTTAGCTGTGCCTCGGGTTTATATTGGAACAACAATGATAAAGTATGTGATTGGCCTAATAAAGTAAATTGCGTACCTGGCAAACCCGTAGAAAGTACAACGATGGAAATGGAAGAAATGCCTGAACCTGAAGGTGAAGAAATTAAAAAAATTTAAAATGTTTAAAAATTAGATAATATTACTGAATTAAAAAATTTTAATTATAGATGAAGATGAAAATGAAATATCTGGTGGTGGTGGTGGCGTAATAACAACTGAACCTGTTATCAAACCACCGATACCTAAACCACCAACAAAACCACCAATTATAACAAGACCACCGCCATCTACTCAAAGTGGTAATTCTAATTAATTTTTTTTTTTTTAATGTAAAATTTCAAATTTTAAATTCAGTGATACTTTCCAGGATACTTTAAAACTGTTTGTTACTTTACTAATTGGGCATGGTATAGACAAGGAAGTGGAAAATACCTACCGGAAGATATAGATCCAAATTTATGTACACACATCATTTATGGTTTTGCTGTTTTAGACTATGAAAATTTAATTATCAAAGCACATGATTCTTGGGCTGATTTTGATAACAGTAAAATATTATTTAAATAATTTTTTTTTTTATTTATTGCTACAAAATATTTTAATAATTAATTTTTAATTGATTTTTTTTTTTTTAAAGAATTTTATGAGAGGGTTGTAGCTTATAAAAAAAAAGGATTAAAAGTAACGTTGGCCATTGGGGGATGGAACGATTCACAAGGAAACAAATACAGTCGTTTAGTTAATAATCATTCTCACAGAAAAAAATTTATTAATCATGTCATAAAATTTTTAGAAAAACATAATTTTGATGGTTTAGATTTGGATTGGGAATATCCTAAATGTTGGCAGGTTGTACCTGTTACCTTCTTTTTTCGCAACTTCCGTCGTTAAACATTCTAAAGGTTTCTGTAAAAAAAAATTTTTTTCACAGGTCGACTGCAGCAAAGGTCCAGAATCAGACAAATATGCATTTGGTGCTTTTGTCAAAGAACTTCATGATGCTTTTAAACCTCGTGGATTGTTGTTATCGGCAGCTGTTTCTCCTAGCAAAACCGTTGTTGATGCAGGATACGATGTACCAACGTTAGGTGAATATTTGGATTGGGTTTCGGTCATGACATATGATTTTCACGGTCAGTGGGATAAAAGAACAGGACACGTTGCACCATTGTACTACCATGAAGATGATGAATTTTTCTTTTTCAACGCGGTAATTTTCACATACCCATATATCCCATTGTTTTTTTCCGCAGTCCTCATAATTAAAATTTAAAAAAATTAAATTTAAGAATTATTCTATTAACTACTGGATATCTCAAGGAGTACCTAGACGTAAAATCATAATGGGTATGCCACTATACGGTCAGAGTTTTCGTTTGGCCAATCCGTCTTCCAACGGACTTAATGCCAATGCACCAGGTCCGGGAAAAGCAGGAGAATTTACAAAAGCTGCTGGATTTTTAGCTTATTATGAAATATGTGATAGAATACAAAATAGAGGATGGAATGTCGTACAAGATCCTGAAAAAAGAATGGGTCCTTACGCGTATAAAGGTGATCAATGGGTATCTTTTGATGACGTTGAAATGATATCGATAAAAGTAAAGTTTTTTAATAAAATTTAATAATTTGCGTGTGTTGTCGATTCCATTGGATAAAAAATAATTATAAAAAATTTTTTTAGTCTGAATATGTAAGAAAAATGAATATTGGGGGAGCCATGGTTTGGGCGCTTGATTTAGACGATTTTAAAAATAAATGTGGAAATGGAAAACATCCTTTGCTATCAGCTATAAGAAATATTTTAGGTTCAAAACCAAGCGATAACGAAATGTATCCACAAGGTAAGGAAAAAAATGTGATTTAATTGCAATAAGAAAAAAAAATGACTTTTTTTTTTTAACTTTCCAGAACCTTCGTTAAGACCTCCTGTGAAACCAACGAGACCGCCGATGACAACCGTTACAGCACCACAAAGACCAGATATGACAACTCAAGGAGCACCGCCATTGGATGATGAATTTAAAGTCGTCTGTTATTTTACCAATTGGGCTTGGTACAGGTATCAAAATTATCACAATAATTTACTCTCAAATAATATTTTTTTTAAAATTATTAATTATTTAAAAAAAATTTTCAGACAAGGCCTTGGTAAATATTTACCCAGCGATATTGATTCTGATTTGTGTACCCATATTATTTATGGATTTGCTGTGCTAAATGGAGATCAGGGTATCATAAAACCCCACGATGCTTGGGCCGATATTGATAATAAATTTTATGAAAAGGTGACTCGTTTGAAAAGCAGAGGAATCAAGGTGATTAAAAATAAAATTTAATTGAATTGAGGTGTTCTTAATCAATAAAAACTATTAATAATAATAATAATAATAATAATAATGAACTTCAGGTTTTGATCGCCATAGGAGGTTGGAATGACTCAGCTGGTGATAAATATAGTAGACTTGTTAATAATCCTTCAGCTCGTGTCAAATTTATATCCCACGTGATAGAATTTATTGAAAAATATGATTTTGATGGTCTCGACCTTGATTGGGAATATCCAAAATGTTGGCAAGTCAATTGTAAAATGGGTCCCGATTCTGATAAGCCAGCCTTTGCGGCTTTTGTTAGAGAGTTAAGTGCTGCATTTAAACCCAAAGGATTATTGCTTAGTGCTGCAGTTTCACCCAGCAAAAGAGTTATCGATGCAGGTTATGATGTTCTCACATTATCAAAATATTTAGATTGGATATCCGTCATGACTTATGATTTTCACGGACAGTGGGATAAAAGAACTGGTCACATAGCTCCCATGTACCTTCATGCAGATGATGTAGATGTAACTTTTCATGTGGTAAGCTAGTCTTAATAGGCCTTATATTTTACTTAAGAAATAACCGAAGATTTTTATTTATTTATTTATTTATGTAACGTGTTTTTTACTTTTAGAATTTTTCAATAAACTACTGGATAAGCGAAGGAGCTGATAGGAAAAAAATTGTCATGGGACTTCCGATGTATGGTCAATCTTTTAGCCTGGCAAACTCGCAAAAAAATGGTCTTAATGCACCCACATATGGAGGCGGTGAAGCTGGAGAATTTACAAGGGCTCGTGGTTTCTTATCGTACTACGAGGTATGTGATAAAAATTATTTAATAAAATTAAAATATAAAAACTAATATCACGATGGCCGTTTTAAATAATATTATTATTAATTAAATTTAGATTTGTCACAACATAAGAGAAAAAAAATGGAAAGTTGTGAGAGATGTAAAAGGTAGAATGGGACCATACAGTTATTCAAGAGACCAATGGGTTTCTTTTGACGATCAAGAAATGATAAAACACAAAGCAGAATATATTCGATACATGGGCCTCGGAGGAGGAATGATATGGGCCTTAGATTTAGATGACTTTAAAAATCGATGTCATTGCGAACCTTATCCTCTTTTAAAAACAATAAACCGAGTTTTGCGAAATTATCCGGGTCCCCAACCAGTTTGCGTTTTAGACGGTTTGTTTTTATATATATTTATCTCATGAAATTTGGTTATTTTAATAATTTTTGTTTTATTAAATAATTTTTGGTAGGTAATGAAAATCAATTCGTACCACAACGTCCAGGTTTTGGAGAAACACCTCCTCCTGATACCGGTTCACAAGAAACAACTTACCCACCAGATTTTACAAGACCTCCGACGACAAGTAGACCGACTAGACCGATTAGACCTACTAGACCTACTAGACCGACCAGACCGACCAGACCAACCAGACCTACCATTTACCCTACGAAACCAACCCCATATCCAACAAAACCACCTACACAAGGAACGACACCGGTTGATGTACAAAATTGCAGAGGTCAAAATTTTGCTCCTCATCCAAACTGCAATAAATATTATATTTGTATTCACGGTAAATTCAGTGAAATGAATTGTCCACCCGGTTTACATTGGAATCACGATCGTTGTGACTGGCCTCAAAACAGCAACTGTCAATCATCTAGTAAGTACTTCCTATTTATATTTAAAAGAAAAAAAAATTAATGAAAACATTTATGAATTTATTTACAGTGACAAATGAGGAATCGGAAGAAAGTAGTACGGAAGACATGCAAAATTGGTCAACAACAACTCGTAGACCCTGGACCGAAAAACCGACGATGGGTGTAACATCGACGACTTTAGAAGAATCGGAATCATGGGAAGAAACTACAACACATTCACCCCCTCCTGATTCAGATTATAAAATTGTTTGCTATTTTACCAATTGGGCATGGTATCGTCCAGGTATTGGAAAATACACTCCTGAAAATATCGACTATGAACTTTGCACTCATATTGCCTACGGTTTTGCCGTCCTCGATTCAAACACTTTTACAATCAAACCTCACGATAGTTGGGCCGATTTAGATAATGAATTTTATATGAAAGTAACAAATTTGAAAAAAAAAGGTATTAAAGTCCTGATTGCGATCGGGGGTTGGAATGATTCTCTCGGAAGTAAATATTCCAGGTGAAAATTATTTTAATTGCTAAAAGAAAAATTAATTTCCTAAAATTTTCATAACTTTTTATTTAAAATTAATTTTATAAAATTTAGATTGGTTGGTAATTCATCCAAGAGAAGAAAATTCATTGAAACGGTTTTGCAATTTATTCAAAAATACAATTTTGACGGTTTAGATTTAGATTGGGAATATCCAAAATGTTGGCAAGTTAATTGTGATGCTGGCCCAGAGGAAGACAAGGAAAATTTTGCAACTTTTGTACAAGAATTAAGCAAAGCTTTTAAACCAAAAGGATTAATATTATCTAGTGCTGTCTCCCCGAGTAAAATAGTCATCGATTCTGGTATTAATTATTATTTTTTCATAACATTTAATAATTTTTAGCTTTGAATCGTACATAATTATTCTATGTGTTGTATTTTAAGGATACGATGTTGCTAAATTGTCTCATTATTTCGACTACATAAGCGTAATGACTTATGATTTTCACGGAAATTGGGATAAAATGACGGGACACGTCGCGCCATTGTACTACTATCCAGGTGATAAATATGACTACTTTAACGCAAATTTTTCAATTAATTACTGGATTGAAAAAGGAGCAGATAGTAGGAAAATAATACTCGGAATTCCGATGTACGGTCAAAGTTTCCAGTTAACAAGAAGTAACAATCACGGTTTAAATGCTCCAACATCAGGACCGGGAAGAGCAGGAGAATTTACTAGAGCTGGAGGATTCTTGTCATATTACGAGGTAAGTTCATATTAAATATTTTAAAAGATGAAATAAATAAAAATCGTTATTGAAATTTTTAAAACAAATTTTTTAGATATGCGAATACGTCAAAAGGCAAGGATGGAAGGTTACCAGAGATCCTAAAGGCCGAATCGGGCCTTATGCGTATAAAGATAATCAATGGGTGTCTTATGATGACGTATCTGAAGTTAGAAGGAAATCAAAATTTATAAAAGAAATGAATTTAGGAGGTGGAATGATTTGGGCATTAGATTTAGACGACTTTAGAAACAGGTATGTATTATTATTATTATTATTTTTTCTTTTTCTACACTGAATTCCTTTTGTTTTACACTTTTGCCATATTATAGATGCGGATGCGGAAATCATCCTTTATTAAAAACTCTTAATCAAGAGCTTAGAGGATTACACGGTCAATTTTCTGACTGTACTTAAAGTGTAACTCACCCTCACTTGGATCTCATTATTAGTTAATTTAAATCCGTTAAAAAATTTTTTTTTTAAACGCATTAAACCCTAAATAAGCCATTAATTTTTTTAGTTACATTTAAATTATTAAAACTTTATTGCTACGAAATCATTTATTCATTTAACAAATAAAAAATGACTGCTTAATTTTATTTTATTTGCTTTTTACATAAAAAAGAAGCTCATTTAATATTAAAATAAAAATAAAAGAATTATTTTTTTTTTTAATAAAAATATTCCCATCTTCTTTTTAAATAATAATTATATAAAAATAATATATTGTTAAACTTTGACGGTACAATTATTTTGAAATATTAATTTTGATAATTTTTTTGCTTATAAAAAATAGTCAAATATAAATATAAAATTAGTACTCATAGTTTTTTTAAGGTTGTCACAAACAAAATTAAAAAAAAAAAACTTACTGTTAAAGAATTATTTCGTTTTTGAAATTTCTCGTTAGTTCCTTGTGAGGTAATACGATGGAATTTAAAACAATTATTTCTGACGATATAGTAACATTACAACCTAAAATAAAATCCATTATTATTATTATTATTTTTAAATTTACGTAACATAAAATAATTGATTGCTGTCAAAAAAATAGATTTTTTTTTTTTTATGTAATCTTTTGTTTTTCTAAAGATAATTTTTTATCATTCCAATGATTACATATAATGTATTTTCGGTTTTAAATTTTATAATTACCTAATACAGTTATAGAAGGATTAAGACGTCCGTCATTATTGAAAAGTGGTGGGTTGTCCATTTTAGCAAATGGCTTATTAGGGTTAGGATCACAGGGTGTTCCCTCAACTCTTGCCCATTTTCCAATTTGACTGAAACATCCGATAATGCTGTATAAAATAAGACAATGTTCTTGAAGGCAAGCACCAGACAGAATAATACTTTCTCTGATTCTGACTCCCGGTCCCACAACAGCATTTTTACCAATGCTAACATTCGGTCCCAACTTAAAATAATAATAATTACTAAGTTGTGTAAATTTTTCTTAAAAAATTACTTGAAAACTAATATTAATAAATAACTTACAACTGCTGATTGATCAACAGTAGCAGTCGGGTGAATAAATACATCTCCAATAATTGTGCATTGGCCATTTACATTTTCAGCCAACCTTTCAGGTGTGCTCTGTTGATAAAGCGATAAATAATGCCTGTTGGCATATATTGCACTCCCTGCTGTTTTTAATTGAGACCACCATTTTACAGTTTTGTAAGCAAATAGTTTACCAATGCCAGCCATTGGAAGAAGAATTTCTTTTTCTAAATTAATAAGTGATGATTCATTTCCGTTCCCATTGCTTAAATTACTTTATTATAAATTTAACAGAAATATAAAAACTTAAATTATTATATATATACATATATATAACTTTATAAGAATCTACATTTTTTAAAATTGTGCATTAAAGTTGAAATAATAATAATAATAATAGGAGCATGCACTTTGACAAACATTAAATAAGAATTTTAAAAAATTACCTGCAAAAACTAGTTTGTTTTTTATCAAATATTTCTTTCATTGTTTGAAATATATCAACTGAAAAAATATAAACACCACAATTGATCAATGGTGATACAAAAGTTTCTGGTTTTTCAACATAATGTGCCACTTCTGATGTGTTTTTATTTAAAACTACACAACCATAATTTAAAGACTGCTGTCTTGTCGCTTCTGTTACAACTATTGTTCCCTAAAATCAATTAAATATTTTTTTTTACTTTACAAAACTGCAGTAAAATTAAAATAATAGTGTAGGATTGAATAAGAAAAAATTTATCGATAATCTAAGTTAAAAAAATCCTACTCGATTGAGTAAATAAGAGTTTCCGATTTTCATAAAGAGAAAGATTTTTTAAAATACTTTAATTATATTGTATATATACCAAAGCATCCTCATGCAATTGATGTGCATCAAGAAGCTCTTGAAGTGGGAAATTCATACAAACATCTCCATTTAATACGAAAAAAGCTTTAGGGTTTCCAATTTTAATTTGATCTCTGAAATGATACAATCCTCCAGCTGTTCCTAAAGGAGTGAATTCTTGCAAATACCTGTCAAACTTTTGTATATTAATATAAAACATAAACTTTTGAAAAAATGTGTTTGACAATATTAATCGTTGAGTTAAATTAACCAATAAACACAAAGTAAAAGACGTTGTAAGAGGTAAATAACAATACCTGATGTTGATTTTATATTCTTGAACCATTTCTTGTATAAAAGTTGAAAATTCATTGGCGGGATAATAGCCTAGAATTATTATTTCTTTTAAATTACTTAATGACAAGCAAGCTTCAATGTGATGTTGAATTATTGGAAAACCTGCTACAGAAAAAAGAGGTTTTGCAATATCCAAAGACAATGGTCTAAATCTAGTCCCTAGAAATAAAAAAAATTATAGGTTTATTTAAATTTCATTTGTAATAATAATAACCGTGATAATTAGATACTTAAATATATTATACCAAAAAAAAAACATTAGATCTACATTTACAAGTAAATAAAAAATAGGTTAATAATAACAACAGAAAATTAATTATGTACCTTTTAAAGGACCCCCAACTAAAATTATTGCTTTTAACATTTTAAAAAACTTGGGAAAATACAATTTTACAACTATTCTACCACGTTAACAAATTAAAATCTTATCAGAGTTTAATAACGCAACAACAAAATGATGAGTTTGCATTTAAATAAAATCTGTTGTATATATTGTCATGCTGTGGCAAACTATAAAAGTTTATGAACAAAAGAAAAAAGTTATATTAGAAATTTGCATAAAAGTAAAATACGTAAACATTATTTTTAAAAATATCCGTATTATTCAACCATTTTTAAAATTTTCGCGCTAAAAATTAAATTTTTTTTCATAAGTTGGTCAACGTGTTTTGAAACATTTCCTTTAGAAATGTCAATTTTTATTTAGTACCAATTATGAGTAAGTGTGGGTGTGCTGTTGTTTTAAAAAGTCTAATCGCTTTGTTGTTATTTAATTGACTCATGCATTTAAATATAGTGCTTTTATGACAAATTTTATATTTAAATAAAAAAAAATATGGGTAGCGGGCAAAGTAATAGGCAAGAAACTCCTATGCAGCATATCGAACCTATGTTTGCTTCTCAAAAACAAATTCGAGCAAGTACGCGCTCGAAAACTCCTATGCCAACTGATCCAAATGAATTGGAAAGGCGATTCACAAAAGTTTTGGTGAGCAAATTTATCTGAGTAATATTTTTTAAAACTAGATTTTAAAATTAACCATGTTTGATTAATTTCAATTTATCGTCATCATGCAATTATGAAGTAAATCGCTTATATAAATCCTTGCTTAAAACAATTTTTGTTTATTCTATTACGGTTGATTATTTCAATTAATAATTTTTTTTAAAATTTTTACATTTGAAATAATTTTCTAGACGTTGTAGTATAAAAACTGAATTATTTCCATTCCATTGATTATTTAGTACAATGTGATTTAAAGAAATTTTATTTTAAATTAAAATATGGCCTTTTTTTTTTTTGTTTTTTAAAATTTTGACAACTTAATTAATTTCCATTTAGTCCCTTTCTATTTTATATATTTGGAAACTAATAATTTTTCATGTGAAAAATACTCATTGTAAAAAACTTTTTTTTTTTTGTTTTAAGCTTAAAAATAATATTTTTGATAAATTACTTTCAATATTTTACACAGTTGAAACAAATTATTATTTAAAAAAGTTTTGAAAATAATTTAAAATTTTGAATAATAATTAAAATTTAAATTTATCGTTAATTTTCAATGCCGAGTAATGTCCACGAATATAAATTTGTTTTTTTTTTTATCATTATTTATTTATTCGTTTATAAAATTAACTGAAAATATAATTGAATGAGACATTTATTTAAACAAAAACTAAATATTATTTCTTGCCACAACCATCAGCATTACAATTTGTTAAAAGTTCATACGAATCAACTAACCAAATTAATTATTAAATTCATTTAATTACAACTTTAAGAAGTTTTATAAGCAAAAATTTATGTGTATTTACAAAAAATAATTTTAATTATCCAAACGGGGGTGGTAAAAAGCAAACTTTTTCATATTTCACCCCACCGTCTAAAAGCAAATAATAAAAATATTATCATTATCATTTAAAATGGTTTAATTGGAAAAAGGGTTTGCTTATAAGAGGAAAAAAAAAAATACATTTTAATCTACCATTGCCAATATTTGTATCATTATTTATTTTAGTCAACGTTAATCATAATTATATTTGATATAAATTTATTTAAGAAAATTGGTATCATTTTAAAACAAATAAAATTAATTTATTTATTATTATTATTGTTAATCAAAATTTTTTTTAAATGTATTTTAATATCAGTGATTGCGTGGAATTTTTGTTATATTGATGTAAACCGTCATGTTGATTTCTTAAGTCTTCAAGGTCCTTTTTATTGTATATATAAAAAAAAAAAAAAAAAATCTTTGGTCAATCTTTTCTCTTCATTTTTTCCCTCCCCCCCCCCATTTATTTATTATTTTTCATTATTAAATTTTTTATTATTAATTAATAAATTTTCCCTTCCTCCCCACCCTCTTAGAATTTTTGCAATCTCATATTATTGTAAATTATGTAAATTTATTTAAGTAGATTGTTAGAAGTTTCGAAACAGCAAAATTTTTTGTTTTAAAACTTTTTGCATTTTCCACAGATGAACCTTTTTTTTTTTTTTTTTTGAGTTTTATTGAAACTTTTATGTAACATTCTCGTTTAGGAATAAAAATTATTTAACTGATAGTGGTATCCGGTCTTTGGCAAAAAAAAAAAAAAAAAAAAAAAATGTTCCATTTTTGTTTTATTTTTATTTTTCTTCATAATTGTCACACGGAGATAAAATATATTTTTTTCGATAAAAAAAAATATAATTAAATCGAAATTATGTCGTTCTCTTTTATAAAGTTTTTGTTAACGATTATAAATAAATAAAATCTTTTAAATGGAAATAATAATAATAGAAATAGTACTCGTAAGTTCTTCTACCCAATTTTTTTTTTTTTCTCCATAAGATTATTTTAAGTTGATAAGTTTCGGGCAATGACTACCATCGATTTTTTAAAACCATTATAATCTTCATAGAACTTTTTTAAAATTCAACTACTAGGTACTAGTCGTCGTCATTATTATTATTTTTATGAATCATCATTCAAGTTTTATTTTTTTACAAGGATGTATTGTTTAAATGCCGTAAGAGAATTCTATCGATATTGTACAAAGAAAAAAACCTAATGAAAATGTTTTATTATTATTATTATTATTAACACAATGTAAGGAATCTGTAGAAAGTTTGAAATTTTAAGGAAAAGACTTTCTTGTTGTGTGCCCTTTACCAATGACACTCAAGCTTACTTATGTACTATTTAAATTTACTATAATAATAATAATAATAATCACTAGCCTAACGAAAGATGAACATTTTTAAATTTACAATTTTATCTTTTTCAATTTTAAGAAATATTTTGTAATTTTATAATACATTTCATTGTTATATATATATATGAGGAGATTGTTTGTTATTTTGTTTCTTATTCATTGTATTATTTGAGCTCGAAAACTTAATTGTTAACTCTGTGTATGATCACGTTCTATACGGATTTTTTTTTTTTTTTTAAATGTTAAATATTCGTTTTTTTTTCCAGCGATTGCTAGTCCATTAAATAAATAAATAAATAAATAAATAATCCAATCATTCAATTATATTAAGACTTGACAAATCATAAAATTTTTAAATTAAATCGTTTAAAAAAAAAAAATTACGTTTCTTTAAATCAGTATTTTGGCTGTAAAATATTTATTTAAATATGTTTAATAATTCAAATTGTAAATATTTTGGTTTTAAAAAAAAAAATTTTATTTATTTATTTATTTATTTACTCGAAATAAAAATTTAATGCCAAAAAAAAAAAAGAAAAATTTTTTCAGAAATATGTAAACGTTTTTTGGACGAGGAGGTGACTAATGAAATTATTCCCGAAATTTTTTTTGGTAAACAAAATAAATTTTTTTACATATTTTGTGTAAAAAAAAAAAAAAAAAGGTTTCAAGATATACGTCACTGATGTAACAAGAAGAAAAATGGGGGTAAAAGAAAATTAAGAAAAATTCGAGAAAATCAAAAAAAAAAAAGAAAAGAAAATAATGTTCCTTGTGAATGAAGGCTTTAATGAAAACCTTTTTGTATGTGTGTGTGTTCATTTCCCAAATAAAAAGGTACAAAAGGGAAATATTAAATTATTATTACGTAGTAGATAGTAGCCTTATTAATTTGTTTAGCTGATATTCAAAGAAAAAAAGAATTAATGATATTAATAATAATTTTTCAGACATCCATGGATTTACCTCCAGATAAAGCAAAACTTTTGAAACAATACGATGATGAAAAAAAATGGGATATTATATGCGATCAGGTGAGTGTTTTTTATATATATATTTAAAAATTATAATTAAGATTATGTACGTAATGAAAGTACATAATATTTATAAAATTGATTTTTTAAACATTTAATAAAATGATATTTTATAATAAAAAAGAGGTCAATGATTATTTTAATTTTTTAAAAAAAAAAGTGATGTAATTAAATTTATGAGTCAGAATGTATTCAAAAAGTTTTTCACCTTCGGGGCTTTTTTCTAAATAATAATAATAATAATAATAATAATAGAGAATATTTATTTACGCTTCTTTGTAGATTTTTGTGAGGTAAATGGTTAGTTTTTTTTTTTTTTTTTTTTTGATTTTATCTTATAAAAGTACATTACACATTCAAATATGAAGGTCTTTATTACTTTTCACATAATGGAGGGAAAATAAAATAAAAAAAATTTTTTTTTTTTTTTGTTAATAAAATAATAAATTATTTATTGTCATTCGCTATTAAAAAAAAAAGAAACATCATTTATTTAAACTACTTTTTTTTTTTTTTTTTTACATTACCTGGATTTCAGAATTTAAAAAAAAATTTTTATCACAAAAATTTTCGCCGTTATTTAATCTTGTTTACATTTAAAGAATCCAACGTTCGTGTGTGAAATATATCTCTTTTTCTTTTCTTTTTTTCTCTCTCTTTCTCTCTCTCTCTCACACACACAGGTTGATATTTGTTACCAGGTTAAAAATATTTAAATTTTTCCCGTCTTTTTTTTTTTTTAGGAAAAAGTTCATGCTAAAGATCCACCAACACATTATTTAAACAAACTCAGAACTTATTTGGATCCAAAAGCTTCTAGAAGTTCTAGGGTAATGTCACTTTATATATTAATTTTTATCGATTTTATATATATATAAATTAAAATTTATTAAACGTCATTCATATTTTTATATTTTTTAGAAAAGGCGATTATTAGGAGACTCAACATCAACACAAGTTTTAAGAGATTTAGAAATTTCACTGCGGACAAACCATATCGAGTAAGATCATCAATAGCTAATATTTACTACCTCTATTCTCTTGTAATAATAAAATGTTTTAAAAATTTTTATTCCAAATTAAAGGTTAAAATAAATGAATACGTTTTTCAGATGGGTTCGTGAATTTTTAAATGAATCCAATTTAGGATTAGATTCTCTTGTCGATTATTTGAGTTTTCGTTTAATTATGATGCGCCAAGAACAAAGAATCGCAGATTCTAAAACTGACTCGGATGAACAAGTTGTAGGACTCACGAGTAAGATGTTATAATATTATTTTCTCGGTCAATAATAAAAATACATTTAAAATTACTTGTAATATTTTTTTTTGTGTGTAAACGAAACCGATGATATAATGAAAATAGTATTCGGTAAATATGGTATGAATAATAAAAATGTTATGATAAATTAATACCATAACCGTATCGAAAAATTAAATGTATTTATTTTCCTATAAATACCACCATCTTTTTTTTTTTTTTTTTTTTAGCAATTAATAATAATTTTTTTGCATTACTTTTTTTTCCATTGTATCCAGAGTATAAATCCAGGCAAAAAAAAAAAAAAAAAAAATAAGGTAAATTTTAAATAAATGATAAATTGTGTTTCCCTTACCCTTATTGATTAATGGATTAGTTTAATTTTATTTATATTTTAGTACATTTTGTGCATGAAATAATTCAATTCGAGTAATTATAGATTGAATTTTTTTTTTTTTAAATTTTATTATTTATTAAAAAAAATTAGTTATCGTTTTGAATTTATTTTAAAAATGATTTCAGGTTCAGAAAAAAACTGCACTGTGATATCCGCTCTCTCAAATCATTTACACACGAATGGATTCATTCAAACGAATGGCACAAATGGTATATTAATGAGTCCGAATTTAAAGAAAAGATCGAAACATATACAAAAATTAAATATGGGTCAAGCAGAAGATGATATTCACGTTTGTATAAAATGTTTGAGAGCTCTTATGAATAATAAGGTTTTTAAATTTATTTAATTCGAATTTTATATATCTATGCATGCATGCATGCATTAATAAATTGTTTTTATTTTTTTTTTTTAGTACGGATTCAACATGGTAATGCAACATCGTGAAGCCATTAATTGCATCGCTTTTAGTCTTACACACAAAAGTCTAAGAACGAAAGCTTTGGTTTTAGAATTACTTGCTGCTATTTGTCTAGTCAAAGGTGGTCACGAGATTATTTTATCTGCTTTTGACAACCTTAAAGAAGTTTGCCACGAAAAGCAAAGGTGAGGCGAAGAAAATAAAAGTAACATAATTCACGAATGTTTTAATAATGATTATTTATATGAAATTAAAATTTATTATTATTATTATTACAGATTTCAAACTTTGATGGATTATTTTTTCAATTATCAAGTTTTTCACATTGAATTTATGGTAGCCTGTATGCAATTTGTAAATATTATCGTTCATTCGGTTGAAGACATGAATTTTCGAGTTCATCTTCAATTCGAATTTACAGCTTTGGGTTTGGACGATTATCTCGAGAAGTTAAGACTGAGCGAAAGTGAAGAGTTGCAAGTAGGAAATTAATTAAATAAATTTTTATTCTATAAGAATTTTCAAATTTGTTGTTGTTGACATTTTTTTTTAAAAAAATAGGTTCAAATTTCGGCATATTTGGATAATGTATTCGACGTAAATGTTTTAATGGAGGATTCGGAAACGAAAACGGCAGCTTTGGAAAAAGTTGCAGAGTTGGAAGATGAATTAGGTCATGTAAGTAGTTATCGTGAAGTACAAATATTTACAAATTTTTAGTGTTCTTTACATTCAATTTTAATTTTTTTTTTTTTTTTGTTTCAGGCACATGATCGACTTTTAGAATTAGAAACGGATTCTTTAAATAAAATTTCGGAATTAGAGCTCCAATTAAAAGCTTTAAAAGAAGAAAAAGTTATTTTGTTACAAGCGAGACAGCAAGTAGACGAAGAAGTGAATACTCTACGACGAGTAGTTCAACAACATGAATTAGAATCTAAAAATCGGCAATCGATATTAGAAAACAAAATTATGGAATTGGAAACACTCACGAAAACATTACCAAGGTAAAAAAATTATCGTTAGAAGTTATCGAGAATGTTATATGTTTTTTTTTTTTTTTTTGGCAAAAATTTAATTATTTGTTTTTTTTTTTTATAGGCCTAATCGATCGTCTCCTGAGCCAATGAAAACCGAAACGCCTACAATACCACCTATTAAGGCGGCACCGGCACCTCCTCCGCCTCCTCCTCCCCCAAGCTCGACGCCTTTAAATTTGGCTCCGCCTCCAATTTGTCCGTTACCACCGCCTGCTCCCGGATTGGGTCCCGCCCCCGATGGAGCCATGACAATAAAGAAAAAAGTATTAACTAAATATAAGTTACCAACGTTGAACTGGATTGCTTTAAAACCGAATCAGGTGCAAAAAATTTTCATTTTCTATCGTATTCATAATTATTGTATTTAAACTCATCGAGAAATTGTATTTTTCAGGTACGAGGAACAATATTTAATGATTTGGACGATGATAAAATTTTCAAAGTTATAGATTTTGGTGATTTCGAAGAAAGATTTAAAATCGGCCTTAATTGTCCGATACCCAGCGGAAACTCTGAAATTGATGGATTGAGTAGCTTTCCGAGCAAACGTTTCAAAAAACCGGAAAACATCACGTTATTGGAACACACTCGATTGAGAAATATCGGTGAAAATCATTTGAATGAATTTTCTATTTATTTATTTATTTATATTAATTAAATAAATTTTTTTTTTTTTTTAGCCATATCGAGGAGAAAATTAGAAATGCCCGTGGATCAAGTTATCGCCGCTATAAATTCTCTCGATTTGAGATTGCTGTCGTTGGAAAATGTCGAAATACTGCAACGGATGATACCCACCGAGCAAGAAGTACCCAATATTTTTTATACAAATGTTTATTTTTATTTATCATGCAAAATAAAAAGCATAAACGATTTGAATTTATTTTTTATATAGACGAAAGCATACAAAGAATTCACGGCGGAAAAAAAGAATCCTAATTTATTAACGGAAGAAGATAAATATTTAATGCAATTGAGCCGAGTGGAAAGATTGTCATCAAAATTAAGCATTATGAGTTATATGGGAAATTTTTTCGACAATGTTCATTTAATAACACCCGTGAGTTGTTTTTCCCATTTTATGTTTAACTTTAAGTCGGAATTTTTTTTTTATGAGGAATATTTAAAATATTTTTTTTAGCAAATCCAAGCCATCATTTCGGCATCGAGTTCGGTAAAAAATTCGAAAAAATTAAAAAATATATTGGAAATCGTGTTGGCGTTTGGTAATTATTTAAACAGTGCCAAAAGGGGGCCAGCTTACGGTTTTAAATTACAAGGACTCGACACATTGCTGGACACGAAATCGACAGACAAAAGAATATGTCTTTTACATTACATCGTCGAAACGATTAGAAATAAATTTTCCGAATTGTTAAATTTTGAATCTGAGCTGTTGTACATTGAAAAAGCAGCCACTGGTACGTCCTACGTTCCTACGAAATTTTTTTTTTTATTACAAAAAAAAATGAAAATGTTTTTTTTTATTTTTGGTACGTTTAGTTTCGTTAGAAAATATAGTGACGGATGTTCACGAGCTTGAAAAAGGAATGGAACTCGTGAAAAAAGAACAAGAACTTCGGGGAAAAGAAAGACAAATTGTCGTCATTAAAGATTTTCTCGGGAATTCTGAAGAAAAATTAAAAAAACTCAAAGCGGATACTAAAATTGCTCAGGAAACGTTTAAAGATTGCGTTGAATTTTTCGGAGAAACTTCTCGAACGACGGATGCCAATTCATTTTTCTCTTTGTTGGTCAGATTCACCAGATCTTTTAAGGTTATTTATAATTTTTTTTTTTTTTCACCCGAATGTTATAGATGTAATGGATTTTAAATAATTGGGCTTTAAAATTGTTTAGTTGGCTGACCAGGAAAATGAACAAAGGAAACGATTGGAAATGGCGTCAAATGTTCCGGAAGCTTCCAAAATACAAAATGCCGATATTGTAAAGAAAAATAAATTAAATCAGAAAAAACAGCAGGTGAGTGTTTTATTTCTTTTTTTTTTTTTCTTCTTGGTTTGGTTTGTAAATTTATTCTTATTTAATACAAAACAAAAATATGTTCTACGAATAGGACGCTGTAATCAACGAATTAAAATCAAAAGCAAAAATGGTCGAAGAAAAAAAGCTTCTTCATCAGGATGAAGTTTATAATGGAGCATTGGAAGACATTTTATTAGGATTAAGGAGCGAACCCTACAGGAGAGCGGATGCCGTGAGAAGGAGTCATCGTCGTAAAATCGATAATAATCGATTATCGAGAACGATGGACGAAATCGAATGCTGACCCCTATATGACCTTTTTTTTATATATATTCAGGTACAAATGATAATTATTCGAGCTTCCATATACCATTTCTAATTTTTTTTGTATAACGAATTTTTAATGTAAGAGCCATGATATAACGAGTTTTACTTTATTTATATATAATTTTATATAAAAAAAAATTGCCTTAGAAAAAAAATAATTAATAACGTACGTACTACGATAAATTTATTTTTTTTTAATTGTTATTATTTACTATTAGAGATGATAATAATAATAATAATAATATGATAGCTTTAAATGATGGCCTTGCGATTTTTTTTTTCTATGTAAATGACAAAAAATTAATTTTAATTTTAATTTAATAATTTGATATAATTTTTATTATTATTATTATTATGTATAAGAATGTGTATTATTATTATTATTATTATTATTATTTGTAAATACGTAAATGAAATATTATAAAGTATGCATATCATATTTAAATAAAATCAATAAGAATGTTGTTATATATATATATAAAGAATTATATAAAACTTTAATTTAAATGCAATTTTTTTCTAATGAAAAAATTCATAAGAAAAAAGTTTTGATAAGATGTTCAGATCTGGCGTTTATCAATTAGGATATTTTTTTGGTTTTTTATTTTATCTCCGTGGGTTTTACGTAATATTTTTATTAATTATTTTATTTATTTTTTTGTTATTATTGTTTCTGACGTCCGAATCAATCAATCAATCAATCAATCGTCAATAATTTAATTGAAATAACGATTTATTTTTAATTTATCCCGAGGGAATTTACAAAAAAAAAAAAAAAATCATTTGTTTGTTTTGATTGGTACATCATGTAATTAATCGTGTGACGTCAGAAAAATATTTAAAATTATGTGGGGATGTGCGAAAGCATCCTCAAAAGTATAAAATTTAATTATTCCCTTAAATCATAATCGGGAACGGGAACTTCTTGTACGTTCCCATAATTATTAAAAAAAAAAAAATTTTTTTCCCCATTTAATTAATCTTGCCAATTATTATTATTAATATTATTATTATTTTGTTATTAGTATTGGTATCTTATACCCCATGTTGTAATTATTATTATTATTATTATTATTATTATTATTATTATTATTATTATTATTATTATTATTATTATTTCTGTAATGTTATTAATCCTTCAGATATAAATTTTGTTATTCTTTTTAGGAAATATTTAAAAATTAACCGTTTAATATGATTTAACATTCCTCATTTAAATAAAAAACAATAATAATGATAATAATAATCAGGTGAATTGCCATAAAACATAAGATAATAATAATAATAATAATAATATTAATAGGTT